TAGATAGATAGATAGATAGATAGATGATAGATAGATAGATAGATAGAGAGATAGAGAGATAGATACTGACTGTAGATATTTTTAAACCAAAAATTGATGCACCAATCTAAATTTTAGCTCAATATCTGTAAAAATAATTGTGTTAAAGCGTTTCTTTCTTTTTTGTTTGCTAAGTTAGATTAGCTGTGGCAGCCATCTTGAATCACTCCAAAAGGTAATCAGTTGTACATCCAGTGACTATTTTCTTTTTTTTCTTATTTTGGCTGCTCCCTTTTTCTGGGGTCGCCGCAGTGCACTAACTCACACGTAGACTTGGCAGTTGTTTTTACGCCGGCTGTCCTTCCTGATGTAACCACAGACCACTGAACTACCACAGCCCTCTGTGTGGAGCAGAGAGCTGCCATCTAGGGTGCCCAGGGGAGCAGATGGTGGAGGTTCAGTGCCTTGCTCAAGGGCCCAGAGTGGGGCAAATGAGGGTGGAGGCAGCTGTGGGTGATTCACCTTTCCCACCCACATTTTGATGTTGTTGGTTCAGGGGGGTTGAACCAGAGACCTTCCAATTAAAATTACTCCAGAAATATTTTGCTAAAACGCAAACACAGGCATTCACACAGTTGCCCACTTTTCAAGACAGTGAGCAATAATAAGGATTTTTATCTTAAAAGACATAAATACGTACTTATCTCATCTTATATTTATTGGATAAACAAGATGAACAGATCCAGTCCTCCCCTGTGGAAGATGATCATTACAGAAGGATGGGTTTACAGTGAAGTCAGGCAGTGACTGGTGGACCACTTTTTGATTTTAAATGCATGCTGTTGTTAAAAAGTGTCCATGCATTACTAAAACAGTGGTTTTCTTTTGAAATCATTCTGCTAAGCTGTGACACAGAGCCTGGTATTTTAAAGATGTGTAATGAGAACAAGTTAAGAAAAGCTGAGTAAAAAAAAACCCAATAGAATTAAGAATGGCTGCACTCATTAAGTAAAGTTTTCTTACTTCTGAAATTGTCCCAGCTAATTAACCTTAGCAAAAACAAAAGCAGTTTTAACTCAGTCTATTTTACTTGATGTTGCTGTATAGCCATGAGTCATCCCCACCACAGAATCGGAGCTATCCTTGTTTTGCTACATATTTGCGTCAAAATTTGCCGATACTGAGTCTGTCTGTTAGCAACGTATCTCCTGAGGCGCTGGGTGGGTTTAATCCTCGCATGCACAAACATTTACAGTCAACCTCATTCAAGATGACTATGGCTAATCCATCTTAGGCAACACAACAACTATAACTCAGTCCATTTTACAGATATTGAGCCAACATTTGATGTGGTAGTAGTCGAGAGTCATCCACAACACACAGTCCATATGTTAACTGACTTTATGAGATTTCACTATTACAAGTGAGATTATTGTAAAGTTTGGATAAAACCATCATAATGTCATCCCTTCACATTAAAAGTTGACCTTAGATTAAAATGTGCATTCCTTCCAGCAATGCTAGATCTTTAATTTTTAAACAGAAATGTTTAAATATACAGTATATATATACATTTGTTGCAATAACCGTAATTAAATTGATGCTTTTAACAGTTCCTGTGATCATATTGACATGAACTTTGACATTTGTTTATGCACTGGACCTTTAATTAATATCTAATTAGTTAAATTGTAACACAGTTTAAGAAAGTAGAGCATGCAGTGCTCAAATCATCCAAAAGTCTTACGACAGATGTTTGAAAAATGTTGCATCCACCCTCTGAGAGCAAACATTTAGAGCATCCGTCTTACTTGTTTGGCTGGATCCTTCTTGACCAATCCAGTGGCAGCTGCGATGTTGCCTGCGCCCTCCACGGTTTTCTGGGCCACAGCGGTAACCCCGGTAACCACCGCTCCGCCTACCTGAGACACTCCAGACACAGTTTTACCAGCGACTGCAGGGACAGCAGAGAGGAGAGACGAGAAAATGAGAGGGGAGGACATGTGATCCTACTGGTTCTGTAAGGGTTACAGATAAAAACGTGACACAGATTCCACCATATCGATTATAAATATACATTATTATTATTATTGATGGGATTAATACAACTGCTTGGATATGTGTTCAGAAAACAGAAAGGACTCTGATCTATAGTTGTCACAATTATTGTTAAAATGACTGCACGGATTTGCCACCAAATCAATAAAATCTTATCTTTGCTCCAAATAGATGAAAAATGAGCGTACATGAAATTGAATCAGTGGAAGAGCCTGACAAACAAAAACACAAACAACAAATAAATACAATGTCCTTGGTGAATTATTGATGGACAGCTGCAGTCAGCACGGAGACAAGAAGGTGATCAGGAAACAGTGGCTCACACGGATCCATCAGTGTTACTCAGCTTATTAATCTAGACTGGAAGACGCTCAGGGACTGGATGGGCTTCTCCAAAGCGGATTATCAGATCATCTAGTGCAGATCGCTGACAAAACTTTATGCCATCACACATTTATCTCTATAATCTCTGCATTAAAAGTGCCCACTTGCAACACCAGATTCCTGCTGATGAAGAGGCGACCCGCCTCTTTCTTTCTGCTTGTTGTAAAAGTGAACTGACAAAGAGGGCCTGCAGGGAGTTAGACACGTAGGCTGTGGATCTGATATTCACCTGCAGAGGTACAGTTAATCTCTACTCAAAATACCTGAAATGTCATTAGGATGAACAAATTTAACTTTTTTATTATTATTCAAAAGTGAATGGAAAACATAGGTCAGATCTTTTAAAGTGGAGTTCTGTGGTAAAGTTGAAAACGATTAATATCGTACCTGTTGCAGATAGCTCTTTGAAGGGGTCCAGTTTGGAGATAGAGTTTAGATTAGATTACAGCTGCCAATTTCACATTACACTGTTAAGTTTACTAAAGTATTATTACAGTAGTCCCTCACTACTTCGCGGTTCGTTTATCGCAGACCCGCTCCATCGCGGTTTTTCAAAATAAGATTGGACATGACACACAAGTGGCTGATTGATGGATGATTGACCGGCATGAAACTTTTATTTAAAATAAATTCTTTTAACTTATTTAGCACCTCCTGTACCTTTGTGCAGCCCACATTGTAGGATAAGCTTCATGCTGCAGCTGATCAGCTGTTCTCCGTGCAGAGTGGAGAAGTGGGTGTGGCCAAAAACGCTTGCAGGTGGCAGAGAGCAGCGGAGGCAGGGCGCTGAAATCATGACATGCTGTGCGCTTTTAGAGCATTTACAGTTTGGAAACATTGTTTAGAATATTGCAAGAGTGTGAGAAGGGTTTAAATATATATATATATATATATATATATATATATATATATATACAAAAATAAAATAAACTGCTACTTACTACTTGTATTTGTACTTTGTGGTTTTTCACTTAACGTGGGGCTTCAGGGTAAACGAGGGACTACTGTATATTCTTGCAGGAGATGCATCCAGGTGCACACCCACATATTCATGGGAATTCACATTATTTGCACACCTGTAATCAACCCGCTGTCAATTAAAGGGCAGGACTGGACAAACATTTAAATAAACGTTAACAAATTAATAGACTGTCTTCGCCTTGTCTTGTTGGGAGTTGAAGGCAGCAGGATCTGGGTTATGGACACTGCCATGTTATATTTTATAGGGGCCAACATCTGCACACTTGTGCTGTGATGCTTTAAGTACCGCCTACTCCCTCACACACAATTATGTTAAACCTTTCTTTTGAACATGAAGTAAGTAATTGCAGCTAAACATGTTGAAACATACAGCAAGGTAAAAATTGCATGACTCAGGAGTCAACACCTGAAAAAATGTCAGGGGTGTATTTGTTTTATTTTACCTGTTCGTTCACATAAAGGCAGGATCACCCTGTGGAGGTGCCACTTCATCTTCGGGTGCACAGTGTTTAGTCATTTAATATGTGCCCACGGTAGGACTAGCTTATGACATCATTGTTTTCAAAAGGATGCGTTTTGAGTCTACATGAAAATGGAAGAGTTGTGTTTCACGATCTTTTAGCCCAAGAATACGTTTTCAAAATAGACTCCAGAGCTTCTAAAATGCTAATTTTATGTGGAAGTGAGGCTGAAACAATAATTAAAAAAACAATAATAATCTGCGTATTACAAAACACAGTTCCCATGTAAACTAATGCAATTCTATCTGCAACAGGTAAGATATTACCTATTCATAGAACCCCACTTGAAAAGATCTGAACTACTCTTTCAGATGTGGCTTCAGCAGGTTACCTGTGGACACTCCATCCTTTGTTTTAGTGCCTGCAGAACAAACAAAAAGCGCAATTAGTCACAAAATGTGCGCATCCAGTGGATTTAAATATAAATGAGAATAAAAATGGAATTTTCTTGCATTAGACGTTTTTTTTTTTCTCTTCTTCTTTAGTTTAGCGACACGACCCAGTATAAGTGAAATAAATTCTCAGAACCCACCGACATACAGAACCCCATCCTTGGTCATCTCCGCGGCTCCTGTCACTCCCTGCTTGGTTTTCTCCGCCGCCGCCACGACTCCATCCTTGGCTTTGGAGAAACCTTTCATTAACGCGTCCATGGCGGCTCGACCGGCTCCCAAATAACAACCCGCCAACAGCTGCAGGGGCAGACACGAGGAGAGGCTCAGTGGTCAAACATCACACACACACACGTCTCCACCCTCATACGCAATCATTAGATCCGAGAGAACGCGCGCGCTTCACACACCACCTGTAGGAATTACAACCCTACTATTATGACATGCACGATCTGTTGTGTGCACGATGTGATGGGAACAAATTATATTACGAGCCTTGATTTGAGATTAAAACAAGAGGCAAGAAACAAAAGAGAAGTGTTTTTACGCACCTGTTCAACTTCCAATAAAACGAGCTTCTGGGATGAGACAGGGAGGATCTCTCCAAAGAGTAAAAAAAAAAAAAGAAGAAGAAGAAAGGAAAAGGATTACTGCCTCGACAACTTCATCTGCTGTGAAGAGGAGACGGACAGGAGACTCCTACGCCTCAGAGATGAAGAACGGATTGATCACGCGCGCGCGCTCTCTCTCTTACACACAGATTACGTAGCTCCTTCTGTACGTAGGATGTCTACAGCGAGTAGGTGCAGCAGCAGCAAGGCTCTTTAATAATGTGGCCCAGCTACCAGTTAGACCAGTTGCAGGGTAATAATGCTGCATGTGGTCAGCTGCATTGCACATCAGCTCCTTCTAAAATATTTATAAAGCTCACCCACATCAAGAAGTACCCAGCCTTAAAGTACAAAAAAGTAAATTGCCTAATTTCTTTACTGTTTTTTTTTTTTTTCATAAGACAACCTAAGGGTCTAACTTTAGTTGTCTCCATCACTTTGTAACTTGTTGCATTTACTCCTAACTGAATCATTTTTATTTGCATATAAAAATTGTAAGTTTACAGGAAATACAATGGTCCCGGAAGAGCTATTGATGCAAACTTGGTGCATCACCGAGTGGCGTCTGAGTGTGACTTTACAAAGGAAAAGTAGAGGAAAAGTGCAAAAAGATGATTACAAAGAAATACTGTACGTAGAATGAGATCATATTTGATTTTCTGGGATTTGCTTGTGGTTCAGTCACTGTTTGTCTCCTTCATGAACCCTTACAGTCAAATTATTTCCATGTATTTCCACGTTACGTTTTAATTCAAGTTAATTTGTTCTCTGTAACGTGTGACTCAGCACATTTATTAAGTTCTTTCCCCCCCCCCTGAAATAATGTTCAAAACAAACATTTGTAAAGCAAATTTCAGAAACACTCAATGTGCTTTTGTCAAAGCGTTAGAATAAGCAAACAGTTGCATTGCATGCGCTGGATCAGAACATGCATAATAATAATAATAATAATAAAAAAACATACCTAATAAAACATTACAGACATTACATGGCAGCTCAGTGGTTATCACTGTTGCCTCACAGCAAGAAGGTCCTGGGTTCAATCCCCATTTTGACCTGGGGTCTTTCTGTGTGGAGTTTGCATGTTCTTCTCGTGCTTGAGTGTGTTTTCTCCGGGCACTCCGGTTTCCTCCTATAGATCATGCACGTTAGGCTGCTTTCAGGACCAGGCCTCCCTTACGAAGAGATCTGTGATCTGAATTGGATTTCCCTGGTTAAATAAAGGTTAATAAATAAAATTACCCCCCCCCCCCCAAAAAAAAAAAAAATAGAAGCATTATGAGTAGAATTTTTTTTTCTTCAAACAAGATATAGTATAGTGCTCTCCTGCAAATAATATTTGATCCAAATATAAGCAGAGTGTTGTCAGTTTGCTGAAATGAAGCATTCAGGTGTTAGTACACAAAGCCATGAAGGATGATCAGACGACCTTAGAGAAATATTTGCTGCTGCCTGTCACTGACAAAGGTCATTTCAGACAATTCAGAATCTATTGCAATTATTCAAGTTCATGTCAGCGCAATTAAAAAAGACTAAACGAGTTTAGAAGGGCTGTGGGAGGAAGCCATATCGTTCTTTTTTTTTAAACGGAACAAAAACATGGCAGAGTATGATGCTTCCAAAGTTCCACCTAATTAAACGTAACTCTCGTTGACCAAAGTCTTTTTTACATAAAACAAAGCCAGAGTGGATGCGTTTGAATATAAGTCACTGTGACATGTTTGAATAAAACCAAACGAGGAACATCTACTTCATTACACCTGTCACTGCACTGAAAAGGCGTTGAGTCATCCCCTCTTCATGCTCAAAGCATTTTAGAGTCAAATGTGAAGTCTTCAGTCTGACAGTTGTACCGAACTGGACCAGATTAGGCGACGACAATCCCAATGCCTCCATTTGATCTCCAGCCATCACACAAAACAAACGGCTAAAAAAAAGAAAGGATTGGCATTTTGCCATGGAAGTACAGACCTCAACCTGATTGAAATTTCTGAGAGATTATGTGAGAACTGTATAGAAATAAAATGTCTACAGTCTGGACTCAATTGAAACTAAATTGTAGACTGCGCTAAATATTTTAATCAGTTTCTTTAAAAGGTCAGAAACAACAACCTCCACCATTTCCAGTAGCAGGAATGATACCAGCCCTGTGCCGTGTTGTTTTGTTAATCTTTTGGGGAATAAAGGTAGTTGAGTTTGAGAGTTTTCAGCAGTTTTGTTTTTAGTTTTGTAACTTATAGGTTTAGGAGAGCTACCCAAATTCCAATCCTAATTGCTCAAATGGTTTGAAGCTTTGTACTTTTATTAGTTTTGACCTGGGCTCCTATAACTCCCTTATTATTTGTTTGATTAGTATTATTTTCATTACAACTATGTTGAACATCACAGCGTTTTGTATATGTTTGTATCATTTGAGAAAATTTTGATACATGAATCGTTAATTCTGGGGCTCGTCCGGGATTTGAATCCAGGACAGATCTTCAGTATTACGTTGAAATTATACATAAAAATATTTTAACCACCAATGTTTGGCACAAGAAGTCAAATGTTTTGCTCAGTTATGTGATATACTCCTCAATGAAATTCTCAACATCTTCAGAATTAGGTTGATAGAAACAGCATATCTTGAACAAATACTTTGATCAGAACAGACAGAGTATTTTTTTAAGTCTTTTTGTAAAATGAATAGTATGCATATATTATATTATATTTACTGGTGTAGAGCACAGAGACTCTTGGGCATGTTGTAAAGTATTTATTGTACATATTGGCATGATGTTCATTTCTTCCAACACAGCTGTCATAACAAAATCTACCAGTATTAGGATGCCAGTTTTATGAAATAAGTACTAAAATCTTTATTCATTAAAAACAGATCATTCCAGTGAAAGCAGCTAGCTAAAAAAAAGAAAGATAAACAACTCAGATTAAGTGGATATTCTTAAAATACTGTTCTACAAAGCATTTTGTTTGAGGATATAATGTAGATATTGTGGGTTTATAAACACACATGTTCCCAATGCAAAGATCTTCAACAGTGTGCTGTCAATCAGACGCCGCAGAGCAGAGCCATTAAGGTCTTATTTCATTTATCTCTACCTGCAGGGGACAAAAAGGCTCATTACAGAGCTGCAGAGCTCTGGACTCATGGTGATGCTGTAGCAGCATGGCTTCTAAACAAATACGTTACTGATACAAGTTACCGCAGCATTAGGCTTTTTGAATCTGATGGGTTAAACAAATTCTGCAATCTTCATCTGGATTGTCGTATTTTCCGTTAAGTATACTTTTGTATTCAGGAGGAATAAAGAAAGAGCAGATGGCCGTTTTTTTTTTTCCGATTTTGACTGAATGTTCTTCGGTTCTTTAGGGTTTGTTTGGGTTTTATTTAAGCTCCTTTATAGTGGGAATTAATTCTGTCGTGTTTTTTTTGTTTTCCTATAAATATTTAGTTCCCTTGTGAGTCTTGTCTTTCCTGACCTGTTGCCCTACCTGGTGTTGATTGGTAATTTTCACACCTGTGTCCATATAGCCACATATAGAGGATTTCCATGGATCCTGGTCAAACCCTTGCATGTTGTTGCCACTTCCCACCTCAACAAATCTTTTTTTTTGGTTTTCATGCATGGTTGTTTATGTAGCTGGGGTCAACCATCCCACCTAAATGGACAGGATGAGAAATGAGTGCATCAAAAGAACCAGCTCAGGTTGAACATTTTAAAAACAGTCAGTGAGATGAGACTGAGATGGTTATGACATATGTAGAGGAAAGGTGGAAGATCTATTGAATGAGCGATGCTTATCAAGGGAGGAGAAGAGGAAGACCACAGAGAAGGGGGAAGATGGAGGGAGCAAAAAAAAGAAGTATAGTTTCTACCTGAGGTTTTCAGAGTTCTTTTTAAGGAAAAAAATCTAAAACCCTCATTTATCTCTGCCTGCAGAGGTAGAGATAGATATACCAGATAGATATATGTTGATAGATATACCAGCTATGTTGTATGGTCTGGAGGCAGAGGCACTGACAAAAAGACAGGAGACAGAACTGCAAGTGGCAGAAATAAAGACGTTGAGGTTCTCCTTAGGAGTGATATCAGAGGTACAGCACAGGTTGAACAACTGGGAGATAACGTTAAAGAGACTGAGATGGTTTGGACATGTCCAGAGGAGGGACAGTGGGTATATTGGAAGAAGGATATTAGAAATGCAGCTGCCAGGAAAAAGACAAAGAAGAGATATGGATGCAGTTAGGATATGGGGATAGTTAGAGAGGACAAAGTGAGATGTAGGAGGATGACTCGCTGTGGCAACCCCTGACGAGGGACAAGTCGAAAGAAGAAGTTCCTAAACATGCAAACTAAATGATGAACAGTGCTTCAGAGTGTTTTGCATTTTCAAAGCTTAAATACATTTTCACTTGATATTCATGACTTGTTGAACCACTTGGTGCGCGTTCATGCACCATTGGGTTTCTCCACTTATTTCAAGATTTGCATTTAATTTGTTTGTACTATTTTCAATGTAACCACAGTATTATTAAATGATTAGATTATATATGTAAAAAAAAAAAAAGATAAATATAAATCTATCTCTCTATCAACGCAAACTCATTTTTCCATCATCCTTTCTTCACAGTGATCAAAGATCAGAGGCGGACAAAGCCAACAGTTTCTGCAGCCCCAAATAAGAGATTGCACGCTGTATTTTCCCTTTTTGACACCAGTAACATGCTGTTTGTTCTAGTTACAATAATCCCACTTGAAAAACATATTGTGATGTAAAAAATACAAATAACAAAAGCAAAGCACTTGTTTCCTCCTCTCACTTTCATTTCTTTTTACATGGCTCTCCTCAGTGAGTCACTGTGAGGCAAACATGAGTCATTTTGGTATCATTAGCATGTTCGGCTGTGAGATCGGCTTCAAAAAAAGCTTTTCCCTACTTGGCTGTAGTGTTGGCTTAATTACTGAAATCTTCTGTTGTTACAGGTGAACAGAAAAATCTCAGATTTGTTCAAGACTGTGCAGCTCTTCAAGAACCTGTAATCTAGGGCTGGGCGATACGGACCAGAATTAATATCTCAATATTTTAAGATGAATAGCGAT